AGTGCGTACGTTCGCTCATTAACCTCAAAACGCATTTGGCCTGTTCACTCTGGCACTGGATGCTTGGTCGATGCCTAACCTAAACTAACCTAACCTAAACCAAACGAATTCACCTCGGATTTCGTGCTAAACCTCCACTCACATCGACAATACGATTAGTGCTCAAGAGCTACATCCGACGCAAGAACTCAAACACCCCACGCGACCAACATCACTTCAAGAAATTAAAGTTCATTAAAATGACAAAAGATTTGCTTGAAATCCTAATAAACAATAAATAATAATAATTAAATAAATAATATAAAATAATAATATTAATAATTAATAATAATAATTTTATTATGCTGTTTAGAAAAATATATTTTTACACAATTATTTTAAAATGTGCTTTTCTTATTACAATATCGATTATAGGAGAATATAATTTTTTAATTTGCTTTTTAATTAAAATTTTAAATATAGAAAATCATCTTTAAATATTGGTGAAAAATTAAATAATGTATGAACATTAATTGCAATGTAATTAAGATTAATTTTAAATACATGAAAAGAATTACTTGATAACGATATTACGATTAAGGACAAACCGATTATTGAAATTGTAAATTATTAATTATTATTAATTATTAATTGAAAATTAAGTGATATAAAAATTTAAGTTTACTTTCACTATTTTAATTTTATAATACACTCTACATAATTAAAAACTCATTAAAAATTATAATTTCAAATACATAAAAATTCATTAATAGAATATGACGTTAATTAAAAAAATACATATTGAAATAAAAAAAAAATCGGTTAAAAATAGGTACATATTAATAGAGAATATGTAGTCATGTTAGAATTTCTAACTAAAATTTATAGTTGTAAATGTTTCGCATGGAAGCGTTTGTCATTAAACACACGTTCGAAGTGTTATCGTAACTGCACGACAGATTATATATAATTTATGTGTAATCTATTGATCCACTTCGAGAATATGGGAGTACCTATATATATATATATATATACTACATACGGTGACTTCCTACAACGAAAATCTGTTTTAAATCTAAAATATTACCCATATCTTCAATAAATCATCAAACACTTGATAAATATTCTTTCCACTGAACAAAACATATTATCAATAACTTCGAAATATTATCTCCTATTATAAATTCATTCGAAACAAATAAATTCAAATAATCACAATTCATTTAAATCAAATTTTTTTGGAAAATTTTACTATCTGATTATTATAACATACAAGAAATTTTTGAAAATTTTATTATCGGAAAAATCTTGTGGAAATAAGAAAAATTCAAGAACGTTACGCAAACTATCAATTTTCTTTAATTTAAAGTTTATTTTACTGTAACATTGTGTAAATTCAATATCTATTGTAATAATCATACTTAACGGTGGGAGAGAAAACAATTCGCACGCAAATGTCAATCATAACGAACAAATTTTCTGCGTGTTAATAATGTTTTCAAGTTGTTGCTATAGTCTCAAGACTATAGCAACAACGCATGTTACTACAGTGCTATGCTTTTAATCACGCGACACTCTCATCAATCGCATGATTGGCGGACTGTAACCAAACTAAAATTCAATCTAGATTTTGTCTCATTTCAGCACACAATTTGAAATCCCTACCATGCACGATGATAAAAGATAGTTTGCAATAATAGATCATAAAACTGATTGTAACAACCATTATAGTTAAAACTAACTACCATTAATTGTAACTACCATTAATTGTAAGTACCATTAATTGTAACTACCATTAATTGTAACTACCATTAATTGTAACTACCATTAATTGTAACTACCATTAATTGTAACTACCATTAATTGTAACTACCATTAATTGTAACTACCATTAATTGTAACTACCATTAATTGTAACTACCATTAATTGTAACTACCATTAATACTATCTACGATAGAATATAACTATCATTGATTGTAACTACCATTAATTGTAACAACCACTGATTGTAACAACTACTAGTTGTAACAATTAGTAACTCCGATTAGTTAAACCTACTATAAATTGTAACTACAATTGGTTGTAACAACTGCATGTAACAACCATTAATTGTAACTACTACTGGTTGTAAAAACCACGATTATTTTCAAAGCAACCTTTAATTATCAAAATAATTTGTTGAAACCATCACTAGTTTAAATTACCATTATTGTAACTACTATTAGTTGCAACAACCATTGATTTTAACTATCACTTGTTTTAATTACTAATGGTTGTAACAGCTATAAATTGTAACAACCATTTATTGTAACAATTATTGTAACTACTGTTGATTGTAACTTACACCGGTTATAACAACTATTAATTGTTACTACCATTGGAAGTGACTACCATTAATTATAATTACCGCCTATTGTAACTACCATTGGTTGTCATTACCATTAATTATAACTACCACCGATTGTAACTTTTTCTGACATTAACTACCATTAATCATAATTACTGCCGATTACAATTACCTATGGTTGTAACTACCATTGGTTGTAACAAATATTAATCGTTATTGCCATAGGTTGTAATTACTATTAATTATAACTACCACGATTGTAACTTTTTCCGACTTTAACTATTATTGGTTGTAACTACCATTAATTATAACTAACGCCGATTATAACTCTTTCTGACTTTAACTATCATTGGTTGTAACTACCATTGGTTGTGACTACCATTAATTATAACTACCACCGATTGTAACTTTTTCCGACTGTAACTACTATTGGTTGTAATTACCATTAATTATAACTACCGCCGATTGCAACTACCATTGGTTGTAACTACCATTAATTATAACTACCACCGATTGTAATTTTTTCCGACTTTAACTACTATTGGTTGTAACTACCATTAATTATAACTAACGCCGATTATAACTCTTTCTGATTTTAACTATCATTGGTTGTAACTACTATTGGTGGTGACTACCATTAATTATAATTACCGCCGATTGCAACTACCATTGGTTGTAACTACCATTAATTACAATTACCGCCGATTGTAACTACCATTAATTATAACTACCACCGATTATAACTTTTTCTGGTATTAACTACCATTAATTATAATTACTGCCGATTGTAACTACCTATGGTTGTAACTACCATTGGTTGTAACAATTATTAATCGTTACTACCATATGTTGTAACTACTATTTATTATAACTACCACCGATTGTAACTTTTTCCGACTTTAACTACCATTAATTATAACTAACGCCGATTATAACTACTATTAATTATAACTACCACCGATTGTAACTTTTTCCGACTGTAACTACTATTGGTTGTAACTACCATTAATTGTAGCTTTTTCTGACTCTAACCACCATTGTTTGGAACCAAATTTTATACGAAAATAAACCTGAAAAATTATATTGTAAACCACAACTAAGTATAAAGTTTCAACTAAATCATCAAGAATTCTGCAAATAACAAACCAATAAATTCTATACACCTTCAAACACAGATTTGTTACACTAACAAAACATTGAATAATCGCAATGTGTTAGCAAAAAAAACAGCATAAATTGAGTTTAAAAAAATGAAAAAGAAGGAAAAATGATGACCAGAAAAATGGCAAAAAGAAGAAGAAGAAGAAGAAAGGCGTCAACGTCGCAGCGCTATAAAGACAAAGAGACCAAAATTGTTAGCACGTCTGTTTTGTGCGGTAAGCCCTGGGGCTTAAGTCTATCTCGTATGTGTGTGACGTGAATCTCGGTCCCGTGAATCGGCCCGTTTCTAGTTTACACATATGAAACACCAACGCAACTGCAGCATCGGGAATTAAATGAGAAAAATGGAGTGCTGATTGTGCGAGTGAGGCGCGGATTATCTGGAAAAGGGGGAGAAGAGGGGATATGCCCATTCTGGATGGCCGCCATCGAGCAACGTGCAAATACGACGGGGGGCTACCAGAAAAAGGCCGAATGAAAAAGATCACCGAACAACTATGGAAACTTTTTTACACACACACATATATATAAATCCGATAAAACGGACCCTAGACCTGTCATTGTTCATCGAATACGAAATTCTACTATATATATATCGGGAAATTATTTTCCACAACATCAATTTTCATTATATAGCTATTATATTTATTTTTCCTATAACAATTTATCACTAAAGTTGATATAAATTTCTATTTTTAAATAAAAAAAAATGTTTAAATTATTTACCTAATTTTATAGCTTAAAAAGTGAATTAATTTTTTTTTAATTTTAAGCCTAAAAAAAGTGCAATGGGAAAAAAATTTATTTGATTCAAGTAATTTACTTGACTAATTATCAAATAAATGCATCGAGAGCTTTGGGTTTCCTGATTCGATGCACTAAAGATTTTAGGAACCCCAATACCTTAACTTTTTTATTCAATTCACAAGTCCGTAGTAAAGTTGAGTACGCTAATATTATTTGAAATCCTTTTTTCAACTGTCACTCAGACGACATAGACTATATTCAAAAACGTTTTTTAAAGTATTTAGTTTTTAAAATGGATGGTATTTACCCTCAACGTGGTTCGAATTATTTGCAATTATGTAATAGATTTGATGTTTTTACTTTGGCAGATCATGGATCTTATTTATCTACCTTGTTATCATTTAAATCAAATTTATAAAAGTATCAACACTAACTTCGATTTTTTTTTTCTGTAACATTTCCACTTTCCTTAAAATGGTTGATCAATATGTTCTGAGTTTGAGGTGAAAAAGAATGTGTACATTTTTACAAACTATTTGTTGCTTAATTTTTCGATTATATTTTATATTAAGTGCAACCCACTAATGGCTCTTGTAGACCGCGGGTTTACCATTGTATTAAATAAATAAATAAATAAATAATAATAAATAAATAAATATTTGTAACTTATGAATAAGTTCTAAAAATCAAAGATTATTTTAAAAATAAAATTCGACTCACCAATCAGGGATTCACTCCAACGAAGCGATGGCAGCATTTTTTTCTTATCATCTCAGATGGATCAAAAAAACACTCACTCGCGATTTTAAAAAATTTCGAACACTCCCGAAAACATAATAAAAATTAATCTAAATACTATTTATTATTATTATTAAACGAACGCGGTTTTAGAAAATTCGAGCACTCCCGGTAAAAAATTTAAAGATTAAAAACGACAAAAAAGAATGAATTAAAATTAGAAAATAATTATTTAAGACGAATCACGTAAACTGATTTTAAAATCTACTCTTCATTAAATTTTGTGAATCCTAATAAAATATTCTTCTCGCCGGTTATGACCTGCTTATACCTGAGTTTATTATTCCGAACCATGTAAACACAAGTCCTGGTGATTCATTGTTTTCTTAATTCCTGGAAAACAAACAGACCCAAACAATTAAATATTTTTATTTTATAGGATATACTATATTAAATAAAATTTGCATTAAAAATAAAATAAAATTTTATAATCACATAATAAATAAAAATTAAGAAAATAATAATAATAATATTTATAATAACCCACTTGGAAAGATTCCCCGGAAAATGCCCCCTGGAGGTTCTATCAGAATTCCGCCGGAACTTCCAACGTAATTCCGTCGGAATTCCATCGGAGTTCCAAAGAATTTCCGATGGGATTCCGACGGTGTTCCGACGGAATTCTGACGAAATTCTGATTAATTTTTTTCAAAATTTTTAGAGTCCTAATTCCGTCAGAATCCCATTGGAAATTCTTTGGAACTCCGAGGGAGTTCCGACAGAATTACGTTGGAAGTTCCGGCGGAATTCTGATATAATTTCCGGGGAATCTTTCCAAGTGGAAATAATAATTATAATAATAAATAATAGAATCAAACAAATTACAGTTTTGTTTACTTAAAAAATTGTGAGAAAAAATTTTTTTTAAATATTTTTTTGGAGCATAAAAATTATTTGAAATACAATAAAATAAAAATATAATTTTGCAATGCTCAATAAATTGTTGGATTTTCATTCCAAAGGGAAAACAAAGTCTTCATTGTATGTTAATCGAAATAATTAATTAATGGATTGTCAACAGCCTCTCTGTGTTCTAGGGAGAGTTACTGTCCGCGACATATTTCCCCCTAACAATGTCATTCAACTTAGCTAAAGTAATTAATTAATTAATGGTTCAACACAATCTCCATGCTTAAGAGATTTATCCGTAACATGTCACCTTAATATTGTCATTTTCTCACGAATAAATAATTAATATTTTAATTAATAAAGAATCAACTTCATATGACATTATAGTTTATTAATGCAAATAATAATAATTAATGCATAGAATTAAAATATAATATCACAAGACAGAGAATAAATGACTTTTTGTTAAATAATTTCATGAATAAATATTTTTTTAATTATTTCAATTCCACTTTAAAAATACAATCTTACTTGTAAAAATTTAATTAATATTTAAAAATTCAATTGAAAAAATTATTTTATAATGTATATTTTTTTAGTTTATATATATATAAATAAAAAAAATAATGGAAAATTTATCAACGATTAATTTTTTATTCATGAAACCTGTTTAAATTGAACTTCTTGTGAAAAATGAAGGGTAGAAAAAGCCAAATGAGTTTCTTGACTGTACAATACATTTTTCTTGCAAATGCATATTTCATTTTTGCCTCTTTAAATCCACAAAATATTCTCAAAGTTAAAGTTTCAAAGGCGACTCTCGCGTTGGTTGAAAACGGGTCAAACAAGACATCTAGAAATTCACTTCGCACTAAGAAGCTTTGCCATGCTTATCTAAAACGCCCACTTGCAGTCACCAACTTATATAATATGTAGAAGTGAAAAATTTTTCATTCTAATCGCTGTAACATTTTTTTTTTTCAATTGTCAATGAATTATTTTTTATTTTAAATTCACAATACAAACAGAACAAATATTTCAAATTATTATTATTACATATTAAACAGGGGTTGTATTATGTAAATCTATTTCTATTTACACTTCCACTTTTTCTAATTTTCATATCCATTTTTTTAATTCCATTTTTACTTCCACTTTTTCAAATTTCCACTTCCACTTTTCCCGATTTCCACTCCCATCTCCATTTCCACTTTTTTTAATTTCCAATTCCATTTCCACTCTCACTTCCATTTCTACTTCCACTTTTTCTAATTTCAATTTCCATTTCCACTTTTTCTCATTTTCATTCCCAATTCCACTTTTTTTAATTTCCACTTTCATTTCCATTGAAAATTGAAATGGAAATTGTAAAAAGTGGAAGTGAAAACTGAACTGTGAGTAAAAATTAGAAAAAGTGGTAGTGGGAATGGAAATTGAAAAAAAGTGTAAGTGAAAATAAAAGTAGAATAAAAAAAATATAAATGGAAATTGGAAAAAGTGAAAGAGGAATAAAAAATGGATTCAGATTTTTCTTTTAAAATAAAGTAAACAAAATACTTTGAATGTGATTTTCGGAAAAAAAAATTCATTTATCCATACTTCAATGCATTTTTACATTTCATCATTTATCTCAATTTTCTTACATCTCTCCTTACACGAGAAGTAATCCCATTTCGAAAAGTTTTGCTACTAACGATATAAAAACGGCAATCCTCGAGTTGTATAAAAACTTCGTCTATAGAGGATCGTGCAAGGTAAAGTATAATACTAGAGAAGGAAAATAAAGTTTTAATTGCAAATTAAATGCTGCGTAAAAGAACGGAAGAGTGTAGTTTTCATCACGGTGAATTACCCTCGTAGAAATTTTTATTTATGAATTTAATCAGCTTTTCTTTTTTTTTTTTAATTATATATAAGAAGTCAATACTCCACAAAGAATATATTTCATTTCTTGATTAAAATTTGTAAAATTTATTTGATTTCACATTTAAACGTTATATAATTGTGAATTTATTGTCAAAGCTATACAAATTTTGTAAAATTAGCCAAATAGATTTCACAGAAATTGTTTGTTGATCCAAAGTTCCAAAAAGGATTATTAACTAATTTGAAAACTTTTCTCGTCATAATAGGGGTCTTTCGCTAAATATCTCCCTCTCTCTCTATACATACATATATATATATAGCAAAACTTTCCACTATCAGCATAAATAACAATATTGATTATAAATTATAATAATCTTTAATAATTCTAGAGTTCAGAAATTAAACAAAAATTTCCATCTAAATGAAAAACCAAATTAACAAAAAAAAATTACAGAATAATCATTTTAAATATTAATCTACAAATCCAAATTTTTTGAATAATTAAATTCATAAGTTTCAAAAAAAATGCCTGATAAACATTTATAAATAAAATAAGAGTTTGATTTATGAAATAGGTGGAGCAATTGAACTAGGTTTTGTAAATATAGGCGTGATTATTCAAGTGGGAGGGACCAAATAGTCGCTTCCGATAGGCGTGGTTAATATAGGCGTAACTACCTAAACTAGCGTTGACATTCACTAAAACAAAATCAAAGTAGGGGTGAATTTTAAGGTGTGGCAATAAAGGCGTGGTTATTCGAATGGGAGGAGCTAAAGTGAGAATTGATACAAAGGGGCGTGGCCAATGTAGCCGTTCCCACATAAATAGGCGTTGATTAACACTAAAGCCAAACCAAAGCAGGTGTGGTTTTTTAGGTGTGTCAATATAGGCGTGGTTATCCGAATAGGAGGAGCCAAGGTTGGAATTACTGCAAAGGGCGTGGCAAATGTAGGCGTTTCCACATAAATAGGCGTTGATTTTCACCAAAGCAGGCGGGGTTTTTTTTTAGGTCCGGCAATATAGACGTCGTTATCCGAATGGGAGGAGCCAAGGTTGTAATTGTTGTAAAGGGCGTGGCTAATACAGGCGTTTCCAAATAAGTAGGCGTTGATTTACACTAAAGCCAAACAAAGCAGACGTGGTTTTTTTTAGGTGTGGCAATATAGGCGTGGTTATCCGAATGGGAGGAGCCAAGGTTGTAATTGCTGTAAAGGACGTGGCTAAAATAGGCGTTCCCTAATAAGTAGGCGTTGATTTACACTAAAGCCAAACCAAAGCAGGCGTGGTCATCCGAATGGGAGGAGCCTAACTTGGAATTTCTGCAAAGGGCGAGGCTAATTTAGGCGTTTCTAACAAAAAGAGTCGTTGATTTACGCTAAATCCAAACCAAAGAAGGCGTGGTTTTTAAAATTATGTAGACACTATGGGCGATTTTTAGGAAATAGGCGTGTAAAATGTATTTAAATACATCCAAGAGGGCGTGGCTTACAAGAAGCCATAGACAATGAAGGCGTTTCCAATTTTTATATAATATTTCGCTTAAAAATCGTCAAAGATTCAAAATAAAAAAAAACTATTTAGCGAATCTGATGTATGCAATGGGCGGAGCAATTGAAGGATGTTCGGACAATGTGGGCGGGACTAATAGAGTGGTAGGGGTGAAAGTGGGAGTCTCTGCTTAGAGGTGTGGTTAATGTAGGCGTTTTTATTTCAATTGTCCTAAACATTAAAAGTAGGCGTGGCTTTGGGCATGGGAATGAAAATATCCAAATAGTTGAGTCGTTTCTCACTGAAATAGTCGTGTGAATTCAATAAAAAAAAAGCATTTAACTGGGCGTATCTACTTAAATTTATAAACAATGAACATTTTTATGTTTATAAAAGTAATTTTTTTATATGACAGAAAACAAAACATTATTATTAACGAAAAAAAGGGGTTTCTTTCGAATAAAATAAAAATTACCTTATATATATATATATATATATATATATATATATTTGAGAATATAAATGATTTATCAACATTAATTTAGGTGAACTTTTTACTAAGAAGCATTAGGTTTTCATACAAACGAAACTATGTTGCGTGACTCGAAAATGGGTGCTTGAAGAGAGCAAGAATGGTTCATTAAGGAAGTTTCTTAGAAAATGTCAGGTGAAGCGCATAATTCTCAAGGAAATTTCATGTTATTAAGGCACTGTGCGTCAGTGGCTTTACGAATGTCAGCGTTTAAAAAGTTTTCACTACGGTAAACTTTCTTAACACTTATATATAACGACAATCCGTGTGCGCCGTTCTTTGCACATCTTTTTTTTTCTTTCTTTCTTTCTTTCTTTTTTTTTATGTAAAAAATGATAATTTCTTCGATGTGCAGACTTTTATTCACGGTAGGCTAAACAAGTTACACCCTATTTTAAGAATTCACATAAAACTCTTTTAAAAGAAACCTTTCTTTTTCTCTCTATCTCACACATACACAAAAGTTCCTCGTAAATTTTATTATCTTGGACTTTAATATTTACAACGCGGCAAAGTGAAAATACTCAGTTAAACTTGTCAAGACAAAAATTACGCGCTTTGTATTCTTAGAAAACATTGTTCTCTTTTTTTTTTTTT